GGCGTAACATAATCTTCCTTCCTCATTTCCTCTTACATGCTTAGCAATATTGTTATAGAGTAGTTTCACAGTGGAGGCTTGTATTTCACTAAGTGGGTCCTATTCAGCGTACAAAACGTTAGGAACTTGAAATAATAGTTAATGACGCAGCAATCTAGATGTGGTGATTGATACTTCAATGTCCGACATCGACTGACTCACCAACTCCACTGAGCCCAACTGGCGACTGCTACTACTACTACTTATTATATGTGGGAGAGTCTATTAACAATAGAATAGGTATGTTCCAGTATAACAAATATACAAAAGAAATAAGGCTTAGGATACTAAATATGTGCAGACAGCTTTACCTGTTCAATCCATCATCAACCGTTATCTTCCCCACATATCACTATAAACTCTGCCTCTTACGCTATGACCCTCTACCTCGAGTGGCTCGTGGGCATTGTACACTGTAAAAAACGAAAATCCTATAGATTTTAAGAAGAAAATGAGCATTAAGAAAAGAAAAGGAAACTATGGAAGTTATTATATTGATCCGAAAAGACTTAATGACATCCTAAAAAAATGAATAAGTTATATTGCCTGGACACCGATGATCCGTCTTTTAGACAGCACCTCTCCAGTGTAAAATCGGCACCTTTCCAAGTCTTTGTAGTTTGTAGCACGTGTCTTAGAAATTTCTCACGAATCTGACTGTGATTGAATTGAATATTTCTAGGTTTGTGTAGGACTGCAGAAAAATATCAGTTCAGTTCATTTTTTCGATGCGGGAAAGTCATTTTTGGAGCATTAGGTCATCTCTGATTCTGTTGCAAGCGTCTTCATTTCTAATCATCGTCCTAAAAATACCTAACTCCAGCTGCCATGCTATATCTTCGTAAGAATCAAATCAGACCAAGCAATGGAGTATTGCTGCCATATCTTGGCGACTGGCGCTGCCCAGTCTTCACTGTCTAGCCTCGACAGCATTTGCACTTGTGGGTAACGAATTATTCTCCTACAGACGAAACTTCGCCAGCCATTCATTACTACATCGCTATTACTATGGTAAATGTTCGGAAGAATTTCATTCTTTAGTGCCACCATCTTGGATCTTAGCAGCTCGGACTTGTCATGCCGTATTTACGATGGCAAACCCTTCCCAATCCATTCGTGTACTTTTGATAACAAGCAAGTTCTTCTTCTCCAGAACTGTTAATTTGTGGAACACACTGCTGAGAGAATGCTTTCCTGGCAATTAACATATTGATCTTTGTAAATCCAGGGACAATCGATATATGTTCTCCTAATACTCTTACTTTCTCCTCCTTGACAATCTCAAGCAGTAAATCTCTATCTTGAGTGGCTCTTGGGCCTTGTAAAATAAATTCAACTTCAGTGATTTTTACGTTTTGCTAAAATCAATGAATGTCAATAAATGTCTGAACAAAGTGCATAGACTATTAAAACTATTTAATCTGAGTCACGATGTTCGAGGGACCCTCCCCGTCCAATAACAAAACGCGAATCGGTATTGTCAGTAAGTCATGCATTTGTTGCAATCTGTCTGAATGGGTTCCTGTTGCCAATAGCTAATTATTTCATATGTAACGCAAAGAGGAAACCCAACAAAACTGAAACAAAACAAAACAAAAAAAAAAATTACCTTGATAAAATTAAGCACAATAACGACATTAGTTGTGAAGAGTTTAACTAATCTTAATATCAAATCTATTACAACGATGTCAAAGAATGAGATTTAATCGAGACAAAAAACAAAATAAACTCAACATTTGAAGCAGGAATATGCAAAATAGATTGCAACACGTTCTCATGAGACATCTAGAAATTTAAATAAAATATATATAATCATAAGAGGGATATTTTACAAAACAAAACACTGAATGCCTTTGTGGTTCATCGTAATAAATCTGACTATAATCTTGACATAAAGAATGAAGTTATAATTAAGAGTGAAAGAAATTTATAAAGGAAAACATATTATGAAAGTGTTCTAATTTCGGTATCGTCCACGCTAAATTTATGTTCAGGAACATGCAATATACATTCTTTCCTCGTAAATGGCGACTGTGCGATAATTTAAAAAAAAACAAAAAAAAAAACAAACAAAAAAAAAACGATAAAAACAAAAGTAATAAAAGCTAAGTGAGACAAGCCAAGTCTAACATCGGCCCACCTAGGGCGTCAAAATTTAAATTTAAAGGCTCGGCCTCTCTGTATCTTTAACGTTTCGATGTAAACTCTAATCGACATATGCTGAATTTATTTCTCCCTTAATTCTCCACCTTCCGTTAATAAAACTGTTATTGTACCTTCTCAGCACGAATGTCACAAGTTTCATGTCGTTCATTTGCTCAATATATAAAAAAATATTTCTTTTTAATTAATACCTCTAAGCAAAGCGGTAAAGTCACTAAGACGCAAGGGGACGATTGAAAGTGAGAGTATAAGATAACCTTAGAAGGAGCAACCGGAAATCAAATCCTAAACAGAAAACAAGGGACAAACCTTTACTCCTGTTCAAAATATATATAAGACACAAGAGGTTAGCGTGAAAGAATATTCTTACAAGGGTTGTTTAATCTGGACAAAAAACAACAAAAACATTCTTGAAAATGTTAAACAAATATACTGCTTGTAATCTTTTATGATTTTTTTTTTAGCTTGGGCCCAATTCTGCAAATGGTTTATGAATGAAATCTAAATAAATACGATGGCGTCAATCATTAGACATTTTTGTAAGATTGGGGAAATGATTAAATCTAATTCATTATTGTCTTTTGAATGCTATCGCTGAGATGATACTATTTGATCTATAGGAATATGAAGAAGTTACGGGTTATATTGTACAATCGGGAAACATAATCTCAACTACTAAACATTAGAAATTGACTTCATAATGACAGAATAACTCGTAAGTCATTTTAATTGAACTATGCTTGAAAAAACACTTACAAGTGTAAACTACTTAAGTGACTAAAAAGCATGTTTCACTTTATAGCACCTGATTTTTTTTTTTTTTTTAAGAAAGTGGTACTCAGAAAAACGGCCGTAAAAAAATTACCCAAGATGGATGAAACAGAGTTTTTATTTTCTTGCAGGATATAAAATTCCACTTCTAATGATAAAAAACATGTCTTGGTAACATTTTTTACGGGTACACCTTACTCATTCAAAATCAACCAGACTATGGGGAATATTCGTGGTTAATATAATAAATCTCATAATGAGATTCGAGTAGGATTTCTTTTTTATCTCAAGTCTGTTCTAATATTGGTTTAATCCAAGACATTATTATATATATATATATATATATATATATATATATATATATATATATATATATATATATATAAATGAGGTGTCTGCTTACGGGAGCTTCGCAGTTGGGTATCGATCAACTATTACTGACTATTACTACACAGATGCTCAATGGCATCCGTATTTGTGGCCTTGTGCTAAACTAAGCTAAAATTACAAGAGACGTACAGTTAGTAAGTATAACCAGCAGACTATTTCTATTGTATTGAGAACGATCACAAATATGGGTCACCTATTAAGGTGCTCCATATTTGTGACCTTGTGCCGTGGTAAGTTTACTAATTAATGTAACCTCCCACGTGGCACAATTAATTACAGTTTTCTGAATAGTTAGAAAAATATGTTTTTGAATGGGAGGAAAGAAAGCTCTCTCATTATCTGGATGATTGGCGTAACATAATCTTCCTACCTCATTTCCTCTTACATGCTTAGCAATATACTAAAGAAATAAGGCTTAGGATACTAAATATGTGCAGACAGCTTAACCTGTTCAATCCATAATCAACCGTTATCTTCCCCACATATCTTTATAAACTGTGCTTCTTACTTTATGACCCTCTACCTCGAGTGGCTCGTGGGCATTGTACACTGTAAAAAACGAAAAGAAGAAAATGAAAATCGAAAATTTTAAGAAGAAAATGAGCATTAAGAAGAGAAAAGAAAACTATGGACGTTATTATATTGATCCGAGAAGACTTAACGTTGCATCAATGGACGAGAAATGATGTCGATTTTACTTGAGGTCAGGTCGATTGGTGAGATAAGCTTAGGCAAGTTGATGTTGATAAATTGGAAGTTTATAGTATATTCTTGTTTACTTTCATCAGTTTTCGTTTTGTGTTCTATGGTGCGGCTGAAGAAATCAATCTGTTTGCCTTCAACACTAGTCCCAGAAGAATACACCACCAATCAGATCATTCCATTACATCTTTAGTTGATTATTTTTTTTTAAAAAAGGTTCAACAAAGATTCCAAATCTTAACTTGAAGCAACAATAAAGAAGAAACCTTATTCTACTTGTTACATCTTTTGCTTTCTTTGGTAGATACTGGTTTTATTTTGTTGCGTCATTTCATATTGGCTTCGGGTTTTATCTTCGTTGAAAGTCACTTAGCAAAATTCCCAGCTGCATATCGAAAGTGAGGCTAATTCAAATAAAGCTTTGCATAATTGTCGATCGATTATATTGATAAGCTGCAGTTTCTCTTATCTCACAGTTTTACTGGTATTTTTCCACTGACAATCAGAAACTAACTACAAAGACAAAAGAAGCCTCCAAAAATGGCTAAAATTAAATATCCAGTAGGTCGAAACAGAAAACAAGAACAGTTCATCTATTGTTAGAAGCACATCAAAAGATAACGAGACCAATTAAGAACGAGGACTTTAAACGATTTCAACTTCATTATTTTCTTAGTTAATTTTGTTTATGACGACGAAATTTTCAAGGAAGACACATTCACTGATCTATGTATCTTGAATCCTGTCAAGATTGACTATAAGAGGAACGATACTTTACTGAAAAAGTGGGGTGAAAACTGTTACTCCCCATCACACACACACACATTCGTTCAAAAGCATCTACGTGTTCTTGTGGGTGATGGATTATTTTACATATTTTTATTATATTTAAAACAAAATGTACCATTTCCTGTATATTACTCTATGGTCATTAGTTGTATCTATCTATCTATCTATCTATCTATCTATCTATCTATATATATTAGTGACGAACGTTGACTTTGAAACCAGTGTACAAGGCGGAGTGTGGGGCAGTGGAATCCTTCACCCTACCTGGAATAATATTGGTCCCTTCTCTGTGAATATGATATAAACTAATTTCAATGTGAGAAAGGCCATGCTTCGTGTTTGTTGCCCCTCTCCACTCGACATGATGTCTCCCGCATTAATAATACTTTGGCGACGGGCCTACTTTGATGACCTTTATTGGTTACGAGAGGAATCTGAGAAAATAATAAAGCCTATGAATAATGAGATATTTAAAATTTATTTGTAGATCAGTTGAAGTCTTCGTTTATTTTGGCAAATTCATTGATAACGTTGCCTTTAAATGTACCAACACCATGACCTACTTTCATCTTCTTCAAAAGGGCCTTTATTCATGGAAATGAAGACCAAAACTCAATCTCTCTTCATTTTGAGAACCTCTCATATAATTATTTACTCGCTTTAATGATGCAGTCGATCTGTCACAGGAAGCAGATATGACAGGTATGATCAGAATCAGACATTGTAATTTTCTTACTCCTACTAGAGTAAATAAACTTTAAATAAAGTTCTTAAAAAGCTTCTGGTTGTTGATGTCGACCACGTTTCTTTGGTGGTTTCAGCGACATCATTCAACCCCATGGGTATAATTCCCCAAGTTTGTTGTTCTTGATATCAGCCCATTATTTTGTCCTTAGTGAAAACTGCCAATGGTTTAAAATGCTGACAAAGTTACCTTCAACAAAATGTTACAAAATTCAAGAAAAGTTCAAATTTGTGCTTAATCATTGTTTAAGTATGTGGTTAGGCATGAGAGAATGTGTGAGTGAACAAGTGAGAAAGAAAGCAAACAAACAACATTTTAATAAAAATAATTTTCCTCATGACATTCAGAAAGCCAATCACTCCGCATGTGGCCCGCGGGCCGCACTTAACCCATGACTGGTGTAAGGGATTGCACAACAGGCCGTCTTACAGCCTGAAAGTTTTCTGCAGTCTAAGCGCTTTGAGGTCTTCCAGATAGCTTTCTTTTAATCACTGAATTTGTGGTCCTGAAAGCACAGGTTCGAACCATGATGATAACAGTTATGCATCTAAACAAAAATGGTAAGACATTAGCTAGATGAAGCCACTATTGCCACTTGCCTAAATTCACTAGCACAACACAGGTGACTGTTTAAAATATGGGAGGTATTTCTGCCGCACCCTGTATAAACCTCTTTATTATAAAATGTATATATATATATTTACGTACTTTAATAATAATAAATCCTTATACTAAAGCGCAAGAAGCGTACCAGTATTTAACCATCGACAACAAAGTGAGTCATTACAAGGAGTCAACCGTAGTGAGGACCAACGATCTTTTCCTGTATAGTATGTCCTTCGCTAGGGCTGCATACAGTTTTGAATTCAGAGTATTTTTTCTCTTAGATGTATTACCATCCAGGGCTATAAAATCCAGTCTGTCTATTTATTCATAGCTAGTGGGGAGAAGTGTTGGATTCATACCTTTTAGCGCGTAAATGAATGTAATGTAATGAACTTGACTGGAATTCGAACTCGGCTCTCCGAATTGTTAATACCGTGCCTCCGTAAAAGTCAGTGTTAATGAGCTGAAAAACAGCAAAGCAGAGCAGGGAATACATTTAACAAGGAATCTTGTCATGAACATTAGGTTAATTGTTTTTTTCATTACGGCCGTAAATATACAAACTACAACTTAAAACTAAAGAAAATTCTCTTTTTCTCTTGTAAGACTGAAATTGATTACATTGTATTTAGTCACTAATTACATTGATTTGTTGCTTTTGAATGTTTTTGCTTGGAGGTGGAATTGTAAGTTGAATTACACTTCTCGTTTCAGTAGCTTTAAGTTAAACATTTGAACCATTGCATCGTCCTTTGCCGCCATGATTTTTGTTAATTACTAATTCAGCGGGAATTAGAGAGAGAGAGAGAGACAGAGAGACAGACAGACAGACAGACAGACAGAGACAGAGAGAGACAGAGAGAGAGAGAGAGACAGACAGAGAGAGATAATGATGAAAAAGAAAAAAAGATGAAAGAAAAAGAGAATGAAAATAGCTAAGATGGATAGAGAGAGAGAGAGAGAGAGAGAGAGAGAGAGAGAGAGAGAGAGGGAGGGAGGGAGGAAGAAAAAGGTGGAAAAGAAAAATAGAAAATGAAAAACGAAAAAGAAAGCAAAAAGAAAAGCTGGCACAAAGAAGATTTGCAAGAAGAAAAAAAAAGCGACAAATAAATGTAGAAAAACGTGTAGAAAATATCATGAAATATCAATAACTTTTATTTTTAATTAATAGTTGCAGTTCTTTTTTTTTCTGGGATTACATCTCGGCTATCAGATTCCAATGATTTCGAGAAAGAGGATATTCATCGAGAGATTTTTTATTGATTAAAAATTAAAAAAAAGTAAGAATCATCATTACAGGAATAAAAGAAATTCAAGTAAAATTTATGGCAAAAACAACGAAAAAGACATCAAAATGGAGAAATATTTTGAGGTAATTCGAGTAATAGAAAGAATTTAATGAAACTTAAGTGGAATTTTAAATCAAACTATGGCGCCAATTTTAATACGAAATTATGAAAAGAAAACAACAAAAAAGAAGGTAAATGAAAACGCTTCTCCGGTGAATTATTTGTTTATAGGATGAAAGTAACTCCGAAGAACATCCTTGCAATCAGCTATATTTAATAAACAAACGAATGTTATTAATTTTGTTCTTATTTCGATATTCAATGGAAAATAGCATTGCAAACCATTCAGCTCTCTCATTGGTGCTGGGAGACTCCTGCTTTTGAGCTCTTTATCCCAGTTTCCTATTTCTTAACTAGTGTTCTGAAAGTTAACTATTAAGCGTTTGGTCTTCCACCGAATCTGCAAGTTTTAAAAATGTTCTCCTTTTAAATAAATTGTTAAGCCACTAATTGAGCTGCCCAGTGAAAATAGATCCTAATCAGTACACATCTGTTTTTTTTTTTTTTTTTTTAAGTTTCCTTGTTTCGGGCCATGACTCGCTTAAATTATTAGAGAGATAAAATTTTTCTATAACAGATTTACAGAATGAGGGTTTGTTTATAAGTGAAACATTGGCCTGGAATCGGTTAATATTGAACAAGAAGAACACGCTTACGTTGGTAACAACTGTTGTGAAATCGAATAATATTAGTGTTAACATTTTGGGCTGTTTTTAGAAATCCTTCTTTTTCTCCAAATTTCAAGATGTTCATGCTGACAAGTTTATCACTGCCAGAGATCAATGACAGAGAAATAATTTTTGATTCGTAGTATCACTGATTCGTCATTTTTGGTTTGTCAAATAGAATTTTTGGATATATCAGGTCATCCCATAAGTTCTGTCCGAATTTTGAATAAAGAAAACAAGTGACCAAATGTTACATTTAATTACAGATTCAATCAACAATGTATTTTCCCTGATTATCTATAACTTCCTTCCATCTATTAACAAGCTTACTAATTCCATTACTGTAAAATTCTTTTGGCTTTGATTCGAAGAACTCACAAATGTTAGTTTTAACCTCTTCCTGTGTTACAAAAGCTGTTTCTTCCAAATGATTCTGTAAGCTACAAAACAAATGGTAGTCTGAAGGAACAAGATCGGGAGAATAAGGTGGGTGAGGAATTTTCTCCCAACCAAGTTCTTCGATCTTTTGTGACGTGATTCTTGCTGTATGGGGTCCCGCATTGCCCTGATGAAACAACTCTTTTCGATTCACTAGAGCAGGTCTTTTTTTACCTCAAATCTTGGTTCAAACGCTCTAATTGCTGACAGTATATATTTGAGCATTAATTGTTGCATTAGGTGGTAAGAATTCAAAGTGGATTATTCCTTGGCGATCCCACCAGATTGGAGAAGAACCTTTTGCCCATGAAGTTCCCCTTCTCGGCTGTGGCTGGGGTCCTTCCCTTTACCAAGCCACTGTCTACGACGCTTAACATTTCGATAAAGATCCATTTTCGTCGCCAGTCACAAGTCTATCCAAAAAAGGTGAAACAAGTTGGCGAGAATGGAGAGAAGAGCAGATGTCAACTCGGGATTTGAGGTTGTTTTCAGACAATTCATGAGGCACCTATTTTCCAAGTTTAGGAACTTTTCCAAATTGTTGAAGATGGCGATGCATGGTTTGAATTGAGAACCGCTGCCAATTCCTCAACTGATGAAGCAGGATTTTCTTCAAGGGCTGCTTCAAGAAGTTTTTCATCAAACTCAACTGGACGTCCGGTTTGATCTTCATTTTCAAGGGTGAAATCTCCACCTCTGAATTTTGCAAACCATCTTTTGAAAGTTCTTTCATCCACACATTCCTCTCCATAAACTGAGTGAATGTTTCTAGCCGCTTCGGCTGCTGAGTTTCCTCTCTTGAACTCATAAAGCATTATGTGCCTCAAATGATTTTTGTGTACTTCCATGTTAGCAGGGTTTTAATCAAACAAAATTTAATTTTATTGTTCTCTGAAATAAAATTTGATCAGTTTAAATGCATCTAAACATAAAAATAATGTCCAGCTCCATTAGACATTATAAAATACGCTTTAAATTTCGTTCATTTTAACAAAAAGTTAAAATTCGGACAGAACTTATGGGATGACCTGATAGAAAAAAAATGTTGAAGAAAATTGCATAAGGATGAATATAGCTGTTGGGTTTATCAAATAGAAGTGGGGGGTTTTGGTAGTATCAGGCATCAATAGAGATATTTACCCACATATTTAATAATAAAAATAAAAATTAAAAACGGACAATGAGAAGTCAGATGAATGTAAATGAAGTACTTAGTTTCTAGAAAGGGAAAACGCCTTCTCTCCCACCCAGAAAAGCGAAGCTAGTTGATGTAAGTAAAACTGTATTTGCACAAAAGTCCAGCACCCTCATGTTGCAAGAAGCTGTGTTTGTCCACGTGTCAGGAAAGAATCTTCTCGTCGCGGAGTCTATCCGAAAACTGTTTTCTGTACAAGCTGGGTTTCACTGACTGTCTGTTAAGAGTCATTGTGAATATTAAATGGGGAAGATGAACCAATATTAAACCAACATAGCTATATGTATAGACTAATTAGAATCA